CCAACTGGAGGGCGATGACGGCTGCCACGGTAATGAACTTCATCTTGAAATATTTAGGGTTTTAGGTTGAGACTCTATTGAGGTTTTGCCGTTAAAGCTTTGTGATCAATTGGCATGTGGTAACCACCTTTATAGCAGCCCGATCCAAGCTATGGACCAACTTGATTCCTCATTTATGTTGGATTTATTTGCTAAATAACTTAACTATTTAAACAATTGGTTTCATTCACTTTACTACCTGTAAAAACAGTAACAAGAAGTGTAATATTTGCTTTAAATAAATATTGTTCTGTGGGGAACAGTGCTTTGATAGTTATTTAAATTGTTTGATTTGGGAATTCAAGGTAACGATCTGGTTTTATAAATTATTATTTGTATATACATATATATCATTATATACTATATATATTTTTATATAATATATGTTAATGTATTATATTCAGACATTGTAATATCATGGGCCACAAACTTGAACTGATCTGATATATAGACAACAAGAAAGAAAGCTTATTTTGGCCAGCCAAAGTTTGTATATATCCTTGCAAGTAACAATTAAAATATATCATAACTAACCCAAAAATGCATTAATTTCGATTCGGAAAGCAGTTTTGTGTTAGTTTTTATTAATTTAAAAAAACTGCATACCAAATTTAAAATTTTAAGAAATCAAAATTTTTGGCCATTTTTGCTAATTTTAATGATGTAACCCTTATCAAATTTCGCAAAAATGGCCAAAAAATCGATTTCTTCCGGACATGTCTAGAAAGATTCGCCTGTTGATGCTGATAAGGAATATATATGGTTTATGGGGTCGGAAATGATTCCTTCACTTAGCAAAATATTATTTTGTATTAAAAAATCGGATTTTTTATATTAAAAAACTTCTTGATTTTTTAAAAATTAAAAATATCATAACTCGGCCAAAAGAGCATTAATTTGAAATCGGAAAACTGATCTGTGCAAGATTTTCTACAGTTAATAAATCTGCATACTTCATTTAAAAATTTTGAAAATTCAATTTTTTATCAAAATCAAAAATTTTAATGATGTAACTAACCCCTTATAAAGTTTTCAAAAAATGGCAAAAAAATCAATTTCTTCCGGACATGTCTAGAAAGATTCCCCTGTTGATGCTGATCAAGAATATATACACTTTATAGGGTCGGAAACGTCTCCTTCACTGCGTTGCAAACTTCTGACTGAAATTATTATACCCTGCAGGGGTATAAAAATATCCCCCTCAATGTCATATACACTGCGCGTCACCAGATTAGCGCCCCCCTTGGTGCTCGCGTTTGAAGTTAAATATTATCAAAACTATTAATGATTGAACTGTACAATTATTATCCAATATAATTCGATTAATTCTCTAAATAAAAACATATATTAGAACGCAGTTGGTATTTGCATAGAATTGTATTAAATTAAAAACTAAAGAAACACGTTTATTTGGAAGAAAAAACTGCGTCATCAGATTAGCGCCCCCAAAATATAAATTTAAACATCTTTCTTAACTTGCTGAGCACAGCAACTATTTTTTTTTTGCTGTTAAATTAAACATTTTTCTTCAATTTGACATACAATATGGGCAGAGGAACAATCTTATCTTCGGAGGAAAAATCGAAAATCGAAGCGTTTAATGAATGTGGACTTTCTCTTCACAAAATCGTCGAAAAAACGAGAAGACATCGCAAAACCAAATCGCAAATTTTCTTCAAAATAAGAAAAGCTATGGAAAAAATTACAAAGGAGGTAATAACAGTGTTATTAGTTCCGCAGATCGCAGTGCTATACTTCGAGAGGCGTGTAACTCCCACGACTCGACCGCCAAAATAATAGAAAAAACTTGTGTTAAGACAATAAAATCGACTTTTTTAAAGGTGATCAAGAAAGCTGACCCTTTAAAGAAGCTAAAACTAAAAAAAAAACCACCCCTTAACCAAGTGCGAACAGAAATCCGCCTAAAGTTTGCTCACACGCATATGACATGATCCAATGAGAGGCATAACGTCGTATTTTCAGACGAAAAAAATGTAACCTAGGGGGTCCTGACGGATATAATTATTATTTCCACTATTTACGCAAGGAAGAGCATCATCTGGATCGCTTACATAGTCGGGTTGGAGGAGTAATGGTATGGGGAGCCATATCCTATTATGGCAACTGCGAACTGCAGTTTTTAACCCCAAAGATGAACGCGGAAAATTACAATTGCGTTCTAAAAACAGCATTTCCCGTTTTTAAAAACTTATTTGGAAATCTGAAATAGCATTTTCAGCACGACTAAGCCCCAATCCACAGAGCCCGGTCCGTAAAACTATGGAATCAAAAGGAAAATGTCAGTGTCCTGGAGTGGCCCCCATACTCCCCAGATCTGAACATAATAGAAAACGTCTGAGGATGGTTAGCTAGGAAGGTGTACGAGGGTGGCAAGCAATATGCTACCAAGGAGGATTTAATTCACAGTATAAAACAGGCCTGGTCAACAATAACGTTGGAATATTTCAAAAACTTGTATGACTCTCTCCCCAATCAAGTTTGTGAAGTCCTTGTAAACAAGGGAGGGGCAACCCATTATTAAATTTCCTTAAAAATGATTCAACTTAATCATAAAATTGTTAAAGATAGTATTTTGTAAGAACTTTATCAAAAAAAGTTAAGTTAATGTAGGTGGCGCTAATCTGATGACGCAGTTTTTTCTTCCAAATAAACGTGTTTCTTTAGTTTTTAATTTAATACAATTCTATGCAAATACCAACTGCGTTCTAATATATGTTTTTATTTAGAGAATTAATCGAATTATATTGGATAATAATTGTACAGTTCAATCTTTAATAGTTTTGATAATATTTTACTTCAAACGCGAGCACCAAGGGGGGCGCTAATCTGGTGACGCGCAGTGTATGTAGGAACTACCATAAAATTTGGTGTATAGCAAAATATCACATATAACTTTGAAATAACGATATTACCGAAACAATACGGAATAAGGTATTTTATTTATTTGTTATTCTTTAGTTACATATATTATATTTTTGTAAACTTATGACTTAATTTATTTTTTAAGAACGAAAATAAACTAAATTTAAGGGTCTTGTTTGGTATAGTTAATACAATTGTATTATGTTATAAAAACTGAAAAATATGTAAATTTATATATCGATCTTCGCATAGTTATTTTTCAGATTATATACATAAAACCTTGTAGTTTTCACCTATAGTAAGTATTAACTGAGAAACACTTAACATCTTTCAGTGCTCCTGTACAACCTGAAACCCTATTGGATAGTATCAAATTTTATCTCTAGTGAAACCCCAAATGTAATAATAAAAGATTCATTTTTATGTATTTTTATTTTTAAAATGAATATATATTTTATTAATCCTTGTAGCGGGTCACTATCACAATGGTCTTGTAGGCGGCTGCTGCGGCCAACTGGAGGGCGATGACGGCTGCCACGGTAATGAACTTCATCTTGAAATATTTAGGGTTTTAGGATGAGACTCTATTGAGGTGTTGCTGTTAAAGCTTTGTGATTAACTGTGGTTGGTGGTAACCACCTTTATAGCAACTCGATCCAAGCTATGGACCAACTTGATTCCTCATTTATATTGGATTTATTTGCTAAATAATAATTTAACCAATTAACTTTACTACCTGTAAAAACAGTAACAAGAAGTGTAATGTTTGCTTAAAGTAAATATTGCTCTGTGGGTTATTTAATTAGGTTGATTTGGGAAATCGAGGTTACGATTTGGTTTTAAAATGAGTATTATATATGTTAATCTATTATAATAATATAATAATAATAATAATTATAATAATATCTGATCTGATATATGTAAAGACAAAAATATCCCCCTCAATTTCAATGAGTTACCATAAATTTTCATGTATAGAAAAATATCACATTTAACTTTAAAAAAATGCAATATTACCGAAAAAATCTGGAATAAGCTGTTTTATTTGTAAGTTTTCTATAATATTATATTTTCATAATCTTATGGCTTGATTTTTTATAACCTTTTTATATTTAATTTTCAAAAACGAAAGTACACTAAATTTAGCGTCTTCTTTGGTACAGTTTGTTATACATATGTAGTATATATGCATGGAACAATGACATACATATATAATGCTATTGCAAATATCTTCGAATAAATATTTTTTGCTGAACAAACAAGAATATAGTATAAAAAGAATGGTTTTTTAATTTCATTCCTAATTTATTTAATTGTTAGTATTAAATGAGAAACACTAAGCATTTTTCTGGCTTCCTGAGAAACCTGAAACCCTATCGCATGGTATACAATTAGCCTTAGTGAAACCCCAAGTGAAAATAAATAATTAAAAATTCATTTTTATGTATTTTTATTTTAAAATGAAAATATATTTTTTTAATCCTTGTAGCGGGTCACTATGACAATGGTCTTGTAGGCTGCCGCTGTGGCCAGCTGGATGGCCAAAACGACGAGAGCTGTTACGAAAGTTGACTGCATCCTGGGATAATCTTTGGATTGTTGGTTGGTGTAGCTGAAGGGACTCTGTAGAGTTGGTGCTAATGAAAGCTGTGATTAACTAGACCGACAACAAGCTCTTTTATACCGATTTGATCTCTTGTATTTACCAAACACTCAACTCCTATTCTTAGGATTTCCGTACAAATTGAATAAAATAAACCAATCAATCACACGATTTCCTTATGACACAGTTTAAAACAAAACATTTGTCTCTGGTAAACAAATGCATAAATTTACAAAGAACAAACACATATGGTGCTAGTAAAGGTACCTACTTTTTAATAACTCTTCTACTTTACAAGACTACAACTACAAAGATTATTGGACAAGTGATTCATTTTAAAAAAACAAGGACGAGATTAAATAATTTATATTAAAATTTAAAATAACTGCTTAAATTTGAATTACCGCATCTGCGCCGTACTAAGTGCTATCGATAGTATCGATAGTCGGCCGATAGGCGGCCGGTAACCTTATCCACCTGTAGTGCCATCGCTAATACACAAAAAGTATAAAATAAACAAAAGGAGAAAGTGGCCGTTGCTGCATTTTTAAACATTGAGACTTTGGAAACGCCACAATGCGCGACTGGATGCCGGTGCTATTCTGCGGCCTGTCCGTGCCGCTCTCCCTGTTCATGTGGCTGGGCAACGTGGCAGTGTCCCGGCTCTGGAGCAGCGACTTTGAAGGTGAGTTCAGATTTAAATCGGCCACCAGGTGAACTAATGTTTAGGGGTTATCTCTCAGAGTCACGGGTGATTCCGCCCGTGCGCTGGCTCTTCTCCACGATGGCCCCTCTGGCCCTCATGACGGTGGCGCTGAAGCGGCGCAGCGTCAACCGGTCGGGGGCCGCGCTGGGCATTCTTGTGGCCTTCGTGCTGTCCATCGCCAGCCATCCGTTCTTCGCCAGCCTGGTGGTGTTCTTCTTTAGTTCGTCGCGCGCCACCAAGTTCCGGGCCCACATGAAGCGACGCTTTGAGAGCGATTTCCGTGAAGGCGAGGGCCAACGCAACTGGGTTCAGGTGCTCTGCAATGGCGGCATGGCCGCCCAGCTGGCTCTGCTCTACCTGCTGGACTGCGGCTGTGGTGAACGGACCGTGGATTTTGCCAGGGAGTACCGCTCCAGCTGGCTGGGAGTGGCCGTGATGAGTGCCTTTGCCTGCTGCAACGGCGACACCTGGTCCAGCGAACTGGGCAGCGTGCTTTCGCGCCGGGATCCGGTCTCCATACTCACCTGGCGACGCGTGCCGCGCGGCACCAACGGTGGCGTTTCGCTGGCCGGCATTGTCGTGAGCCTGCTGGGAGGATTGCTGGTGGGCTTCGGTTACTTCGTCACCTTACGCTACACGGTGGAGGCCAAAATGCTGCTGGTCAGCCCGCCGCAATGGCCGATCATTTTGTTTGGCGGCATTGCTGGCTTATTTGGATCCCTGCTCGACTCGGTCCTAGGCGGCCTGCTGCAGTACTCGGGCATCAATGAGGACGGCAAGATTGTGGATGCACCCGGCAAGGGGGTGCGCCATGTCAGCGGACTGCGTATCCTGGACAATCACAGCGTTAACCTTATTTCCAGCATTGTCACCGGCGTCACCATTCCCGTCCTGGCCCAGAAGTACTGGCCCGTGCGCTGAGCACCCGTCTCTGTTGTCTGTTACTCACTAGTAATAAGCATTTCTAGCCCCGCTAAAGGATAACTAAGTTAAAGATCAAGGAAATGGCTTAAAAATCGTCTGAATTTGTCGCTTTAAAGCTCGTTTGTTAACAATTAGTAATAAGTCTTTGAGATTGTAAGATCTGTTTTCAATGTATCACTTTAAAGGGGCAGGCTCTATAATAGTTACATATATTTTTGTAAAGCTTCCACGGCGCCAAGCGAACTAACTGACTAAAAAGAAGACTTGATAGGAACAACAACGACTGGACAGATGCAGCGGGATGGGTTAAGGCAAGCTATAATGTATCTTAAGCTAAGGTAGTTCGCTACAGATGTATGTTCCTCAGGAGATAACTTTCTAGGCCCTGCGACTGTCCATTTAGATTTTAAATAAAACAAACTATTAAAAGCTGACCTCAAGTTTATTACTGGGGGAATTCTACGAATTCTTTTGAATGACTTCATGCTTGCACAGTTTGACCATTTCAAACGTGCCACTTTATTTGTTTTCTAAGCTCAGCAAAACATTCATTGAATTGAACTGCAACAATTATAGATGACCTCTCGGAGCTCTCACATTTCATTGCGATTGTTCATTGCAAGACATTAGGTTAACGCAATCAACTCAAACTGGCGATAAAGTCGCCTTTAAATGAATTTAAGACTTAACAAATTGTTTCCCCACGAATTAGTTACTTTTCCCAGGGCCCAAAATATGTTTTTCCATAAAAGAAAAATAAGAAAATGAAGTTCAATTAATTTTTCCCTTTTTAGCTTTTAGATTTCTTTAATCTTTTTGTATTTTATTGGATCTCTTGAGTTTCTGTAGCTCTAGATTCCGAATCAGGTTCTGGGACAGGGCACGCAGGGCTTCGCTGGAGGAACTGGATGAGCTGGGTGAACTGGCTGCCCCAGCTGGAGTGGCTGGCTTGGCGAATCCTATGGAAAACTTTATCATAAGGTCACCGATGGGAGAGTTAATGAACTGGGAGCCCGTGGAGATGGTCTTGAAGATGATGCGGCGCTTGTGCTGGTAGACTTGAGGATCTGCAGGCAATCCAGCAGGAGGCCGGCCACTGATCCTGGGCCTTGGAGTGGTGGTGCTAGAGAATGGCGGTGATTCCGTGGTGGTGGTCTGGTTTGAGGTCTTTGCCGTGACCTTGGGCTGGGCGGTGGTCCTGGGTCTTGTGGTTCGGGGCTGGGCAGTCGTGCGACGCCTGTGCGGTCTGCGTGTAGTGCTGGTTGATGAACTCAGCTGGGGTGCCTGGTAGCCCGTTTCCAGCTGATCCTGCTCCTCCTCAGGGCCACCGGCCACTGCATCTGGCTTCTCTGGATCACCAGGATAGCCCTGATCCGTCTGATCCTCCTCATCAGCGTAGTCGTCCTCCTGTAACTCACCAACACCATCCTCGCGATGTCCATCGGAGAAGAGAGGCGGTTGATGCGGCGGCTGCTGGTCACGGCGCTCCTGCTTCTCGCGTTGCTCGTACACGGGATCATTGGGAGCCGAGGAGGCCAGCACCTGCTCCATCTGTTTCTGGAGGATCTCGTAGAGAGGCGTGTTTTGCTCGTCGTCCAGCACCTCGACTGGCTCGCTGGGTACAAACTGATTGTTGACATAGGCACTGCGTCCATCCAGGTCTTCGTCCACTTCCAGGACATCGTCCTTGCGGGACCGAGACTCGGTCTGCAGCTGAGCTGGGGGCGGATGGGTTACATCTTCGGTGACCTCTGCTGGTGCAGCTCGAATAGTGAGAAGAACTGGAAGAATTCGAGTTTAGATGGTTTTCTACTAAAGGACTTAAATTTATACTTAATTTATGTGCAAACTCACCTCCGCTTAGCAGGATTAGTAGCTGAATCTTCAAGATCCGAGTTGCAACACCTCCGGCTCCCATTGTAGTTGGTTTACTTCTGGTAAATGGGACACACATCCATTGCCCTTTTATAGGCGGCGGCTGACTGCCACCTGTGGCTCTGTGCATCCCACGCCAAATTAGTTTTTAGGTTTAGTGGCTGGCTCTGGACGATGGCCCTTTCAAGCTTCTGATATCGCTCGGCTTGTCAGTCATCATCAGTTTATAGAACTCGTTTCCAGGGTCAATGCACTTGCAGCAACTGCATCGAAATGGGAATTCAAATCACTTAAACTTTAGGAAAAGAAATGTCTACAGATAATAGTTTAATTGTGAATGAAATTGGTTTGTGTAGCTGGAAACATAAAAAACAGCATAATGGTTTGTTATAAAATAAATAAACTTTATTTGTCGGTACAGATTTATAATTAATTTTCTGAGAACCGAGAAGTGTCATATTTTTAATTGAAGAAACAATAAATTGTATTTTATTTATTAGCGAGAACTTGGATAACAATAAGCAATAGAGCCTTCTAACCCCTGGTACAAGAATTTTAAATATTTTAATTTTTATTTGATTTATTCTCTTATTGGGACAAAATAGCTCATAAGCGGATGATGCTTTATGAACATACCCAGATCCATAAAATAAATTAAATTCCTGGATAAAGATTACCTATGTAAGAGCTTGTGAGCTGCACAAAGTTTATTTATTGCTACATCTTTTCCAACCAAAGAAATCACTTGATTTAGCATATATTTTAAGCCGCCCATCATTAGAACCATATTTAAGTGATTCTTATAAAGAATATTACCAATAATCAATTATAATAGACCTCTGTTATCACAAAACTAATGTCAGAGAAACATTTATTATTTGCTATTTGTTTTTATTGTAATAAATTAAAATAAATAATATTTTATAAGTGAGATTCCATTTAATCTATTCTAAGCTACAGAATACTTGAGCCTTTCATTGTTGTTGGCCTTGGGTTGGGCCTGCTCCTTTAGGGGAGCGATCTCCAGAGGCTTGGGTGTGGGAGTGTCCTTCAAGGGCATGGGAGGCAGGGCGATCTCCTCGGGTGTCTTTGCGGGCACTGAAACTGGGACAACCACGGGAATAGGGGCTGGGACTGGGACGGAGACTGGGACTGGGGACATGGGAGTCTCCACAGGCTTCTGCAGGGTCAAGGGTTCCTCCACCTTTTGCTTGGGATCCTCCTGCTCCTCGCTGCTCTCGCCGCTATCCTTTTCCTTCTTTTTCTTCTCAGCCTTTTCTCGCTTCTTCTGCTCCTTCTCTAGCCTCTGCTTCTCCTCTTCTATCTTCTTTTTCTCCTCCTCCAGCCTCTGCTGCTCAACAAGAGCAGCATCCCGGAAGTAAGGGGAAGCCCGGAACTTGCTGTCGGCATGGGCAGTCTCCTGGGGATACTTCTCCTGGCACTCGGCGTAGGAGTAGTCTGCCCACAGGCCGTGGGAGCGGCACTTGGCCACGCCCAGCTTGCACCTGTTGTAGAAGACTGCCACTTCGGAGGATGTCTTGCCGCAGATGGGATCGTACAGGTCCTGGCAATCGTCGTCGCACAGATAACCCTCGCTCAGGGACTGGGCGGCACTATTGATGGCTGCCGAGTTGGCGGTCTGGCAGTCCTTCTGGCCAGGCTGACAGCTGAACCAGGCGATGGGTATGGCCAGGTAAGGAGGACTCATCCTCTTCTTGGCAACTCCATTATCCCCGGCCGCTCCGTAGGTGCGCTTTACGTAGTAGCCGTGCTCCTCGGTGGACACCTGGCTGTTGCCGGCCAGGTCCGTGGAGGTGGACCACTTGGTCTTGGTCTTGGTCTTGTGGGGATCGGACTTGTCGTGATCGTGGTGGTGATCAGAGCCCTTGTGCTTGCGCCGCTTCGCCTCCGTGGGGGCTGACTCCAGGAGCAGTAGGGCGGCCACTATAGAGGAGAAATGCTGGTAAGATCTTCGGGTTGATAGAGCTTTGCGGAGATGCCTTACCTAAGATACAGGCTGCTTGGAATGGTCTCATATTGATCTGGTCAGCTGCTCGTCTCCGCAACAACTGATCGCATCTTCTGGCGAACGGTGGCTTAAGTACCAGCGAAGGCTGGCCAGGGGGAATTCTTTCCGGGCTTACCGGTTTTCTGCTGGGTCTGCTGGGAGAGCTCTTGGTTTGTTTACTCTTCTCGCAGCTCCGAGATGTCCCCCGTCCGGGAGACCCCGATCGAACGAAAGTACGCAAAGTTTTCGGTACTATAAGCATCGTATTTGGTGAAATTTTATGCAAACTCATGTGGTCTCGGTCTGTGGACCCTTTGCGGCGGCGATAGCCATCTAGAATGGCTTGGCTTGGACTTTAGGAACTGGTTGTGTGTTTAACACCTTCGCTGCTCTGCCCTCCATTCAGCGGCATAAGCCCAGCCCAGCCCCGCGAGCCGGTTCTCCGGAATTGGGTCAATCTGGAAAGGTTCGGTGATCTGGTTGTTATTTTACGAGGTTCTTCTGGCCGCAATCGCCGGCGGCCGGCAGCTGCACTCGCTCGCAGGAAATCCACATCCAATCAAGCTCTGTTATTCTGCTGATCTCTGTCGATCCACGGTCTGTGTGAGAGATCACTTCCCTCGCTGGTAATTGTATTCTTAATTAGAGCGCGTTCAAGTGAGATCTCTGTGATGGAAGATTAATCTTTGGAGCTGGAGGATCGGCTTACAGATGGCTTGAAAACCATTAAATTGATGGTTATAAGGCGATCTTTGATTTGATCAAGAGTGGATCAAGGTAAGAACAAGTCTTTTCTGAAGTTCCCAAGCTCAATTTCTTGAGCTCTGATTGTTTTTATTTTAATATATTTCATTTTAGAAGAACTACAATAATTCCAAACTTTTATGGTACAACTTTACTGCTTACATTAACCCCTTTCTCTGATAGATCTCTCCAAAGAGTTTGATCGCTGAATATATTGGTTGATTAAGCCATTAAAGGCGTCCATAATTGCATTTATTATTACCACCGTCGCTTTGATGACTCATCCCAGCTCGTGATCACTTCTTGTTTGATTTCGAATCGTAGTTCCATGGAAAAGTTTTCGAATTTCCCATTAGCATTAGAAAGTTAACCCATCTCTTCGTTGCAGTGCTCGGCGTTTTTTTTTTTTTTTTGAAGTTGGGGGCGATCAAATCGACGTAAATCGAATCGAATCGAAGCCATTTCCAATTACATAATTAGGGCTTTGACCGAGGGCCAAGAAAGGGGAGACCTAACGATCTTGTAAGCTGTTTTGCATACGGCATATCGCCAAATGGCGCTAATGGGTCCAGTAAACAGATCTTAGCTTTGGACACAAATCAATGGATTTATGAAAGAAGCTACCAGAAAGCCGAAAACAGTCCGACAGAAAATTTAAATAAATGATTTCGGTTTCTTTGGAGTCAGTCTCTCCAGCGACCTGGTAAACAAAAGAAGTCGGACAAAAGAAAAAGAGATGCGATAGAGCTGCTGGAGAAAGAAACCCAAGAAGAGAGCTCTGGGGCTGCAGAGACCAAGCCAGAGAGCAGAGCTCTCGGGATCGAATCGGATCGCCTTGTTTACTTGCCTCGCCTCGCATCGCATTTACTTTCATTTTTGAGGGGGCTATAAAAAGCGAAAGCAGAGCGCTGGATTTGCTCATAAAGACCGCAAAACTGCAAAAGTCCACTACGGAATCAGCCCCGAAAAAAGGATTAGCACCATGGTTAGACCCATCTACCTGGCCCTCGGTGAGTGGAGCTGATCTCTCGCAGGTCTCGGTCATATGTTTGCTAATCTCTGGTCTTTCGTCTCTCCCAAACAGCTGCCCTGCTCGTCTTGGCCTGCTCTGTGAGTGCAGCTCCCGTGGCGGAGTCCGAGATCGATGCCAGTCCCGAGTTCCCAGCCTCAAGGCAGGCTGTGCCGGAGAAGGAGGAGGAGGAGCAGGTCCACAATTCAAGTGCGGACAGCAGTGAGGAGCATGAGGATGACGATGAGGATGAGGAGGGAGCCCACAAGGCAGCCGAGAAGAGCAAGGAGGATGATGATGATGATGACGACGAGAACGACGACGACGATGACGATGACTCCCTGATAAGACGACGTCGTGAGGCGGAGACCACCGAGGAACCGGCGGAGGAGACAGCCACTGAAACTCCCACCGAGGACCAGAAGGTGGATGCCACCACAGCTGCGGCACCTGTGCGGAAGCCAGTGCTTGTGCTCATCCGCGACGCCCTGAAGAAGGTCACCACCGACCTGCCTACCGCCCAGGTGGCCAACAATGCCCTGCAGTACTTCCAGCAGTTCGAGCACTTCATCCAGCAGGCCATCGAGGAGGTAATTGGTGATGATGACGATGAGGAGGAGACCCCGGTGACCATAATCCCGCAGACGGAAGCGGAAGCAGGAACGGAATCCATTGTTGAGGAGATCAAGAAGCCCGAAGGAGAGGAGAGCCCGGAAAAGAGTCCAGAGGTTGTGGCACCCCTTGAAGTTCCCGAGAAGATGCCTCAGGTCACTGAGTCCACCTCCTCCACTTCTGCTCCCCTGAGCAATGCTGTCTAGTTCACGGATCAAGTTCCACGCACCTTTTCTCAGCTATTTATTGTCAATTATTTATTGCTAGCTATAATATATGTACTAAATATGCCATACTTTGAATCCCCGAATGTTTACATCTTCCTGGCTTCCTTGCGTTCCATTCGCTCCTTCATCGCGTAGATGTGGCTCTTCAGCTGGCTGCGATGGCGATTGGTGGTCCGTCTTTTTGGGGAATCGATCTGCTGCAGCAGTCGGTTGAAGTGCGAGTTAGGGGCCTTGGTGGAGGGATTCTTCCTGCTCATTGCTGCCGAACCGCTGGGCCTTCGCACCTTATTCAGGGCCAGCTCCTGGTCACCAATGGTCAAGGTTAGCGGTTGTTTTCCAGCTGTACTGATGTAGATGGGAATGGTGATGTAGATGGGGGAACCCGCTGCTGGCGGGGAAACCTTTGGCGGATTCGGCTGAGACTTATCAGGCGAAGGTGTCGGCATCTAAAGGAATATTAATAAAATAGTAAATATTATATGATATGTTTAGGGGTTTCTTATTTACCTGCTCAGATTTCTCTGGCTGCGTTGACTGTGTCTAAGAAAAATTGAGGAAAAATACAAGAAATATTAAGCAATGTAAATCAAATTTCACATTCAAAATAAATGTTCACCTGCTTTATCTCTGAATGCGGCGACTGCGCCTTGAGGAAGTGCAGTGGATTGGCATCTTCGCTCAGGTTACTGTACTCGTCCTCGGTCAAGGCGGGAAGACGATCACGGTGGAAGTTGTAATCCTCCTCTTCGATCTCATGTGCCTGCAGGGACGACTTGGCTGTGGGGTTGGGCTCCGGCTTGGGCGTGGTTGTGGTAATAGCGGAACCAGAGGACTCTGACAAGGGAGCTGATTCTAGCAGGATCTTAACATTGATGGCCTGCTGGCTGCCAAGGGACTGGGTGATATTCTCGGCTGAGCACAGAAGAGAGCAGAGGAGGAAAGCTAAAAAATAATACATATTTTAATAGTAAGTAAAGAATTATTTAACAGAACTTCGATTCCACATTTCAAAGGAAGTAATGTCTTCCTATATTATAAGAAAAGAAAATTGTAAAAAAAGTCTGGAAATATTTGGATTTCCAAACAGTTTAAAACTAGAAAGTCAGAATATTTCAGCAAAGAATTGTTGTATGAAGTTCTTAAAACGCCAGCTTTGCTATTTCTTTGTGATATTTTATTTGATAAAATATTACAGCCTAAAACTAACAACTATCTTAAGCTAATGCCCACCCCCAGACTATTCCGTCGCTCTTCTCCTCCCAAATTCCAACGATTACAGGGTCATCTTCTTGCCATTGAGGATCATCTCGGTGAGGCCCAGTTGGCGGAACTGCTGCAGTCGCTCCACTTGGTTGCAGAGGCGCTTCTGAAACTGCACCTCCCGGCTGAGCTCCTTCAGTTCGTCCACGCTGCTTAGCGGATTGCAGCTACCCATTTTCTTGGCGATCAGTTCCGAGGTGAGCGCGATCTTGGCCTTGGAGAGGCGGAGGTAGGAGAAGTCGGCTCTGGCCCGCTTCAGCTCCTGGCGGTACAGGAACAGTTGGTACGGAAAGTTTACGGCAGCGGCCCTCCGGCGGAGCTTCTTCAGTGCCCGCTTCTTCTGTTTCTTCAGGGGATCGTGGCTCTTCACTTTGTGGAGCTTCTTCTCCGATTTGCTGCGGCTTGATGACTTGTGATGATCGGACATGATGCTGCTGGGTGAACTTCTCAGGGGCGACTGTGGGCTGTACAGCAAGTCGAGATCCTTTTAAAGAGGTCCTGGAGCAGGTAGATTCTCCACGCAGGTAGCCAGAGGTAATTAGCGGGTGCCAGTCACGCGTGTGCACGGATCCGTTCATTCGGTTTTCCAGCGTCCGGGTCACGGGGAATTTCCCCGGCATGTTTATGGCTTTATGACTGGCCAAAGATCCAGCCAGGACCCAGACCCGGCTTAGTCCTCAATTATGGCAGCCAACTTAGCGCCGTTCGCCCAGATCCTTTGGGTTTTGTGGCGATTTTTCCAGCCGAACCCAGCAGGGGATACATTTTCGGACCACTCCGTTCGCGGAATTTGTGGACAGTTCTGGAACTGTCTGCTTTCGAGGGAAATTGGGAGAGAGGCGACGACCCTGTGTCCCCCTAGAAATTTCTAGCTAACACTTGGTATACCGTAGATCACCTTTTATTCTATATATTTTTTCTCACAGACTGGCTTAGCAGTTGCTCTTATCCCCGAGTATCCTTTACACAAAAACCCCAAACACACACCTCCGCAATTAAAGCTCCAAGATGTCTTCATGTTTCGCGTCTAAAAATAATACTGAAACCGCTTTTGGCAAGAGATTTCTATTTTATACCTGGCAAGTCAAACTTTTTGGCTCGAGAAATTTCACTTGAATGGGAACAATGCGAAGTTCTACCGGCAGAAATTTGCATATTAATTTCTCAATAGTCTGGCTCTGGCGATGGCTCCACTTTTCTCTTTCTCTTCTCAGCTATGCAAATTTCATCTTTTGCCAGCTTTTTGGCCCTACAAATTTAAACGCCGATGTCGTCATTGATTGTGCCTCTTGTTGGAACCATTCAGGGGGACAGTCGGGGGGAAAATCGAATAAATAATGATGATGCGCCACTTTTTCGGTTTATTTTGCATGCATTTTATGATTTTCGAAAGGAGATGAAGGCAGACTCTTTCGCCTCAGTGCCCAACAGAAGTTGTAAAGTTCTCTCTATGTATCTCAATCGAATCTATTCTGCAGAGAGAAAAATCAGAGAAGAAGCCGTTTTAAATATGCTTAAAAATGTATACTTGAACAAGGGGACTTTAAAGATTTTAAAGCGTTATATTTAGGAAATATTTTTTTGCATAAATAACCTAGCTTTGTATTTTAATTTAATTTAAAAACGAGTTCTTTTGAAAACTGCCACTCAAATTTTATGGAAAATATTTCTCTCCCTGCCTTGGTCAGTCGGAATTAGCCCGGACCCTGGAAAAGCCATCGATGGGTCGCCGGCTTTCATTTAAAGTTGAGTTTATTTATCCAGCCGTCAGACGGAGGAGGGCCGGGGCTTTTCCATTTGACTTGGCTCCGACTGACTTGCATAACGTTTCCCTCAATGTCCTTCATCTTTGCGTTTGCGGCTTGCGTTTGTCATTAGACGACGTCTAGACCAGGACTCAGTCAGCCAGGGCCAGATATCGATATGCCGGCGTTTGCCCCAAGAAGTTGGCTACATAAATTTTGGCCATAGGGAAATATACATCGAAATTGGCAACGTGCACTGGTGCATCCTTCTGTCCTCGATTATATAAAGATTTTTGGCAACATATAACAACCTACATATATCCCCAACAAATTGTCACGAATTGGATTGATTAGTTTTCTTTGGCTTTTGCAGGTCCCTGTAGTCATTAAATCTCCTTTAGCCTTCCACTTAGCCAAATGAAATATTTTATTTTATTCATCATTCACATCAAATTGACTCCCCTTATAGGGCATCGTTTAATTCTGCTTAACTGTTCCGCGTTTTTATGTCTGACCCTTCGGTTTGGGGCTATATTTTACGATCCGCCCTTTATGGATTTCCAATTATAAATGCAGGAAAAGACCGGGGGCCGCGAGGGGAAAAACTTTTTCATTGCATCCAATCGAACGAACGGCGCAATAATTTTCCAACGCCATTGTGTGTTTGCAATTTGTTAGCCATGCGGCCAATAAATTGGCCAAATATGCGCCATAAAGTGCAGAGGGAGAGAAGGAGCCGTCATCAGGCTGTAGATATATCCCACGGGAAGAAAACGCAGGAAGAGATTTCCCCGAAAACCCTTGTAATGAAATAAATTGACTTTCATGATGGACGGTCCGGCAAATAAATGGCAACTTTTCACTCCAAATTAAAATATATATATTTTTTTAGGCGGTGGAAGCATCTATTTTTTATTCACACACAAAATGCAATAAAATACACACGACTAAACTGCTCGCCGCATGGAGTTACTTTGTTTCAATTTATGTACTGACCCCTGTTTTGGCCTGTAAAATGCATTTCACATTTTATTGTGCACTCAATCAAAAATCCATTTCCGTTTGTTTCGAACCCCCACGTGTCCGTCTGTTTCGGTTCCAGCCTCACCGGGCGGAGTGTGCAGATTCCGGATCCCGGATCCAACTGCAGGTGGTAACGCGGACTCCCGGATTGGCAGCCAAAAGTTTGATAATTGAGTTGAAGCCACGCGTTGAAGTTGCTCCCGTCTCCACCTCCAATGTGAGTTCCAGGGCCAGTCTATGCACTGAGAGAAATTGCAGTCAAATTGGGAACACCTATATTTATAAAAATTGAGTTGTTTCGAGTAAGACGAGGTTACGTGATAAATATTTCGGAGCACTAAATTATCTTTTTTAACGTAACTTTCTTTGTCTATATATCAAATTTGTTTTTCTCTCAGTACATCCAGCACCGGCTCCAATCATCAGCAGCTTTTAGCTGCCCCGGCAGAGGCCTCCTTTTATATGCACAGGGCGATTGCAGCGACTCCATTCATGTTGCACGTGCCGCATGGCAATTCAATCGACTGTGGGGCGAGGAGTCAACCGAGCGACCAAATAACATCGGATGGATAGCCGGCCGTCCTGGCAGTCCTTCCATCTCTACACTGCAGTCAAAGTAATGCCTTCTCTGGAGGAGGGGGGCGCCCAGTTCAATACCATAGCAGTCGATGAGGGTTAATGGCTGGGGGATCCCTGTGGTAGTGGGTCCTTTATTGTGTTTGTGCAGACCATATGATGGAGTCTTTGAAATGCCGGCAACTGACTTTCAAATGGTTAAATGATGGTCAAACGATGAACGAATTATCCTCACAGGCAATGGGTCAAGAAGGATGTGTAATTTGGACATCGATATTAGTCTAGTTAAGCTCGACATAATAGTGATTGGGGCTTTGGACAATTGGAGGACATTACTCTAAAGTACTCCCTTATGTTTAGAGAAGTTGGAACCTCAGAGTGAAAGAAAATTTAATAAAATTAAATTATTTTAAGCAAGGAAATATTAAACAGAAGAGAGGTCTTGAAGTTACCTATACTACAAAGTTGTAAGAAGTTTGTTTGTGAGAATTTTCTTCCTTTTATTTCAATAAATCTCACAAAATTTGTCAATGAATACTATTATAAGGCTCCATTGTATGTCATATTGAAAATATATATGCACTTGAGAGCATTTGAATGAAAAAAAAAAGAACAAAGGGAGCTAGAGAAACCCTTTATATCATATGCATATGAAAAAAATGTAGTCATGCAATAAAAACTAATCAAATAAATAAGTAAACAAAAGCTGTGAGGCACGGAGGCAAATAAAGTGACAAAATAAAGGAAAACAATTGCGAAATAAATGCCACAAACAATTGACAATAAACTACCGACATACAAATAAATGTGCATGCCCGAATATATGTCTGCATGTGTGTGTGTGTGTGTATGACCTGATTCGCACACATACACACGTGTGTTTGCATGCGTCAAGGATATAAATAAAATGAAAAGAAGCCTGGAGAAGAATGAGGCACAGAGAAATAATAAATAAACTACAGTTCATGTCATGTCAGCGGCGATAGCGCCGAAGGAAGGACCAGGACAAAAACTGACAAAATGAAATCGAGCCGGGGAGCATACGAGGCTCACACACACACAGACAGCGAGAGAGAAAGATAATAATAAATATGTAGAACAAGTGAAAATGGCCAAAAGTTGTACAGATGCGTGTAGTTAATTTGATGGGCTCTTTAAGTTGTCCAATTTGTTGGCCTCACCGAGAAGAGGAATTGAAATAGGTCCAGAAAACCCAGGCCGACACGCATTCCCACACACGTCCTTCCACTGAGAGAAGGATTCGGGAACAAGGATGAAGCTTAAACAAGGATGAAGCTAAGGGAACAGTCTCTGGAGATTTAAAGCAGATAGTTTGGATTTGAAAAATATACTTGACTGTACAAATAATATCCTTGATAATGGCTTTTTTGTTGGGTAAGCTTCAGGCGTTTCAGTTCAATAATCATAGTCTACTTTTTGGCTGCAGCGAAAAGAATTTTATTCTATAAAAAAACTTTAAACTGTTTAGTCAAACTAAAAAAAATAGGTACATCTCTTTGAATCATTTTTTGAGAAGCCTTGGTATGGTTTTGAAATTAAAACTAGAGCTCTTTCAACTCCCCCTCTCCCAGCTCTTTGAAGGTCTTTATAACCTTCCTAATCAGTTACTACCCCATAAGCTTAGATTGCCTTCGAATAGTCTCCCATTCGACTCACCCATTAAGCACCCTATCTATGCCGACAATCTGTTAAGTCCCTTTCAGCATTGTTCAGGCAATTGCAATATCATCGCCCCACCATTATGAAAACAAGCCACGCTCTGGGACTTTGTTTCCCGCTCGCTTATTGGCCATAAATTCAACGTGCCCACGGTCTATTAACTCCGTCCGATCTGAATCTGTAGCGGGAGAGAGAGAGAGATTTGGCCTCTTAATTTAGCCACGTTTAAGCTGCGGGTTGGGGGAAGCCCAGCAAATCTCCGTTCGCACAAATCAAAATATTCGGCCGCCAAGGACGGGGCACATCCGACTTCGGCGGCTTATCTATCGGCTATGGAAATTGAATTTCCCCCGCAGAACTGCCTGGGAATTGGCAATGGACTCACATGGGCAGAAAGGACGCGTCCAGATAATTGCGCGATAACAGGCTAATTTTCAATTAGCGCCATTTTGATAAGTGAACATAAATTAGGCATTTTCTTTTGGCCCCCCAAAGGGGAAAGCGGTAGCGGGAGCTTCATTAATCGGCAGCAACAAATTGCGAATGGATATTTTCGCTTTTGCTGCTCATTTCCGCTCTCCGGAGTCGGATTCCGGTGGGATTGAGTTGGCCGGGGTGCCACAAACGTGACTAGTTTATTGATTCCGATCGGACTTTCGCCGGTACATAAATTAATAATAATATCGAAAGTAGTCGGTAACAATTTGCTTTGCTCTGCAAAAGCCGCTCCATCCAGCAGCTCACTCTCTATGAGCAACTAAAAGTCAAACACCGACACCGAACACCGCCCGCTGGCATCTCCTCAATACGTGTTGGTCATTTTGACGGCGTCGTCGTCGGAGTCGAACCTTTTGGCCATATAAAATTCCAATCATACTTGACCAAAAGCAAAACACTGGAGAATTTCTACGCCAAGAGCTCACTGAAGGAGGCAAACAGCAGCAGCAGCAGCAGTAGCGGCGGAAATTTAAGTGAAGTGGGACGTTTAAGCCAGA